CTAGAGAACACACAGAGGAGTCAGACCTTATGTGGACAAAATTGTTTCCAACCCAAACATTCTTGGGGAGTGAACAGGCAGCTGGCACTCCAAGACTTAGTGAGGCGTGGCTGCACACTCAGGTCCCCCGGCTAAACTTCCTGAAGAGCCAGGTGCAAGCTGGAGCTGGGGGGTTCTGGCTTCTGATTGGCTGCCATCAATTGTGGTTAGCTCTCTGTGGTGGGGAGGCTAGGAAGGACAGTGGGGGCTGATAAATAACCCAGCAGTATGCACATAGGGGCAAGAAAACAAGGAGGGACCAGAGATCACACTTTGCCTTCTCTTTGGTATTGAGTAGTATCAACCACATCGCAGACATCCCAACACCTTGGTCAGGCAGCTGGCTGAGTAAGGTAACACTTGTATTTTCCTGCCCTCAGCCAAACTGTTTATTCCATTTTTACAGTTCTAATCAGAAGTACTTGAGCTTTTTTTCCTTGCAGGTGATGAGGGGAAGGAATGAGGGAAGCTGACATCAATTTTTTGTTTTTCTTTCTAATGTATGAAAATAGGAAAGGTACAAGGTGCCGAGTTGAGTCCAAAGACAATAAGGCTCATGCAGAAATGCAGTATATCTAAATTACTATAAATGAATACAGTTGGCAGAAGAGAGGTTTAGAAAGGTTTAAGGAAAGCTTCTTGAATGGATGTGAGAATACTGGGAAAAAATAGTATTAAGTCCAGACAAGAAAATGATCAGGAGCAAAGAAAATCTGTGGTGGAGGGAAAAGCGGTCTCTTTTTCTTTTTTTAGGTATTGCCGGTGTTTTCTGGCATTTCCTGAACTTGGTTGGACTAAGCTTAAGGTGACTGTTTCTGAAAATGTGACCTGTGTGCCACTCAGACATCAGGATCACTGGAATGATTGTGTAAGAAATACAGTTTCTGGTCTTCATCCCAGAAAATCAGACTGTCTGGGAGCTGATGAGTTTCTTGTCTGAGGTGTGTGTGGGGAGAGGAAATAGTCTCCCTTGTGATATTGATTCATGTTACTTTTGAGAATACTCATGGTAGAGACTCTGCTTTGAGGTTATATTCTTGAGTTTGGATTTCTCATTGGAAATCCAATTTGTGACTTTCTGAAGTGGCTCAATGAAAAATTACCTGGAGAAAGGGTAAAAATCATCAGATCATTTTTGTGGATGGCTGTGACTTATAGAAAGGATCTTTTTGGAGGGGGGCACTGGGAATTGAAGTCAGGACCTTGCACTTGCCAGGCTGGAGCTTGTGCCATTGAGCTATATCCCCAGCCCTAGCAAAGATATCGATGTTATCAATGTTTTGATGTTTGCTGCTGTGTAGTAAATAACAAGAAATAATTTGAGGAGTGAATGAGTAAATTGGTGGGACTACTATGACCATGAGAAATCACACTTGGGTGCAGCTGACCACTCTAAAGTTGTGTAGATGAAGTTGTAGATGCCAAGAGGGGAGAGAGTGAGTGGAGTGGAAGTATATGTATGTTCTAGGGTAGGAGGCTGGGATGGAATGAGTGGTGTTCCTCCTGTTGCAGCCCAGCTTGCTGAAGTAACTAATAATAACACTCACTGTGAACTACAGTTGTCGCCTTGTTCAAGCTGCCCTGGGTTGCTCTGTCGACACAAGTCCATGCCCTGTGGAGAGAGGGCCCATTGCAGCTGCTGCAGCAGATGATGGCAATGCTGAGATGATGGTATCTGTTAGGGACTGGACCGAATCAACACCAGACCGCAGGCTGTTAGAGTCTGAGGCTAGTCTGCTGTGGAGACATTTTGTTACAAGGCAGGACATCAAACCTTTGCTATATTTCTGAGTGGTAAAAAACGAATGCAAGGTAATTGTTTCATAATCCTAACTTCATGCTCTCCACAGGTTCATAGTTTAGTCCTCTTTCTATTTGTTTAACAGAAAAGAAAGATAAGGTAAGGATGGTGGTCATATTTAAGACTTAGCCAGGTCTTAAACTTTTCTAGGGGGAAATCTAGGAAGAAATGAGGGAAAAGTGACATCCGATTTTGGTCTTTAAAACATTTTATGTCCGAAATGGTCAGAAAATTTTAAAAAATTTGTTTTGTAAAACGCTCATGAAACAAAAATGAATTAAAAAAATCCTTTTACCAGGGATATTTCCATTTTTTTAGTGTTAAACACTGTTTGGATTTTAGTGTACTTCCTGCTGGGATTTCTGTAAGTGTATGCATATAAAAATATGCAGAAATGGGACTCAGCTTTGCTTCTTTGTTCCTGTGTCTTCTGCTTTTTGGTGTGGATATCTTTCTGTATCATTGATTCATACAGAAATTGATCATATACACCAAAAATATAGAAAATTCCATTTTCTGTGTTTTCCATGTGCATTTTAACCACAACATATTTAATAATGGCTTTTGGTAGTTACTTATTTCCTGTCTTTCAAAGTAACAAACAAATTTTCAAGCAAATCTTTGTTTTCATGTAAATATGACTGTGTACTGGTAGGAATAGATATATTCTATAGAATATATTCTATAGAATAACTTCCCAAAAGAAGATTTGTTGTAACACAGATAATATAATGTAACTTTTAGAAGACATCCCTGAAATGTCTACTAGATATTCCATATCAATTTCCACTCCTCCCAACAAGGCATGAAGATATTTTAATTTCTTCATGTTTTCATTGATGTTTAGTAATATCAATAGTAGGGCTGGGGATATAGCTCAGCGGCACAAGCACCTGCTTGGTGAGCTCAAGGTCCTGAGTTCAATTCCCAGTACCAGAAAAAAAAAAAACAGTAATATCAATGGTTTTAATGTTTGCTTACTAGATTGCTAAACATATCTCACTAACTGATTTTTAAACCTCCTTCTTCCAAAAGTAATATTGTATTTTAATGGGTGAAAATTACAAATAAGAGTGAAAAAAATAAAACATGTGTATGTAACATAGCCTGAATTTTCATATATATTCTCCTAATATCATGGCACATTCTTCCTGCCCCCCCCCTTTTTGGTTCTAGTTTGGAAAAACATTTATCAGTTGAGCTGGAAAGCCATCTGATATATACTCTTAATTTTGGATATCAATGACTAATAACTACCTGGTAATGGCATTCTTTTTACAGGACTACTTAGATAGATGTGTTTTGGTTGATTTTGGCATAATATTTCAGGGCAGTGGGAGTCAAGGGAGGAATAAATAGGGAGGGACCTTATTCTACGGTGCTTGTATATGTAGCTGATTTACTCAATGTGAGGAATCAGTATTTAACTTGATGATTTTAAAAAATTATCGTTTATTTTTAAAATCACTACTCAAAACATTATCTTGGGATCCCAAGAAGAAGTGCTTTAGAAAAAAGCTGGGAAGTGAAATGCTAAAGGAATCAAAAGGCATTTAGAGTTGAGTTCAAGTCACAGAGGTAGGGCGCACTGGGATGGCCTAACCTGCCACAGGAGAGAACTAAGAAGCATAACTGGGTGAAAAGTAACTTTGAGGTGTTTGTGGAGCTATGTTTGAAACACTTTTGAGGTTACTGGGACCTTTCAGTGGTTTGGAATGATTTATCTCTTACCCAGTCCTGCATAATGAACATCACAGAATTTCCCATGTTTTAGAAATTTGTTTCTAATTTTTGTGGAAAGCACCAATTTCTGATGCGTAATGGGTGCAAACTGGAATAAACCTTGGGGGTCTAAATGGAAGACTTGAAGAGTTTGGCAGGGGCAGTCAAGGTTAGTCCTTGCCCCTTTTACTCCTTCTCAGCCCCCCAAGTCCTGTTCCTGGTCCAAGTGTGTTGATCTGAGATTTGTTTCTGTGATTCTGTGACAATAAAAATATCACTGATGTAATGAATCAAAACACATGGAATTAATATGTTGCATGATAGTTGGTGGTTAAAACAGTTAACCCAAGCAAATTGGAGAGATATAGGTGGGATGTTATATTGAAAATACAGTCATCTTTCCAGTTGTATGCTAATAATTTTGGGATAATTGATCTAATTAGGTCCAAATAATACTGAGATGGCATTGTCAGATTTTTGTTTGCGTTCCTACTGAGGCCCACACTACAGCCCAGATGGGTAGGGTTTCCTGGGATATGTGATTTTTTTATACGAAGAAAAGAATTTCTTCCACCTTTTCTCATTATAATCTATAGTGCTAATGATCATTGACTGGTAATGACTTTCAGGTTGGCCCATGTTGAGTTTTAGCTGAAGTCACTTGAATTTTTCATTTTAAAAGTCCTTTAGCATTTTAGTATATGCACACTATGGTTTGTTGTAGGTTTAAAGAGCTCTGTGGTTTTGGTTTCTAATGTAGAGATGGCCTTATAATTTACAGCAGCGTTCACTAATTAAAATTGTAAGCATAATTACTATCCATGATACTTATTATTAGTTTGCATCCATAAAGCTCAAAATTCACTTCATCCTTTCAACTGGTGAGTAATTAGTTTCTTTGGGTTTGTAGCTTTATCATCCCTTTATGACTGGTTTGGAAGAAATAAACAACCAGCCTCCCAGAAGACTGCTTAAAAAGCTAGAAATATATTGTCCAGCTAGTGCAATGAGGCTAATACAATGTGGAAAATATTGCTTGGCTTTGATTTTAGTAGCCAGTTTATCTTTGCATTTACTCACAAATGCCTACTGAGCGCTTAATGTAGACTAGAAACATTGGAAAGAAAAAGATGGATCACTCAAAGATTCTGTCTTCAAAGATGTTAAGGATTTTGTGGGAAAGGAATTAAATTTTACATATGCAGTATTTAAAATTATATATGCACACATATAAATGACCCTAAGTAGTGTCAGAACATAGAATGACTGTTCTTTGCTGTATGATCAGCATCTAAAGTAGTATAATAAAATAGGAGATTTAATAAAGTACTTTTGGAAATAATGAATGAATAAATAAATCATAATTCTTGTTACTTACAAAATACATTAGTGGGATATTGACATTTTCCCTAACTTGACTTGTTTTCACTGTCCCTAGGTACCTCAGCCAGCATGGATGTCTCTTTGCCACCCACCTTGGGACTCAGTTCTGCCCCCGATGAAATTCAACATCCACATATTAAATTTTCAGAATGGAAGTTTAAGCTATTCAGGGTGAGGTCCTTGGAAAAGGCACCTGAAGAAGCTCAAAAGGAAAAGGATTCCGGTGAGGGGAAACCCTCCCTAGAGCAATCTCCAACCGCCCTGGACAAACTTGGGGGCCAGAAACCAGTGCTGACTCAACCAGCATTGAAGCCTCATCCTAAATTTTCAAAGAAGTCTCTTGATGATGGGAAAGCAAGAGAAAAAGCAATTCACCAAGCCAACCTTCGACACTTCTGCCGCATCTGTGGTAATTCTTTCAAAAGTGATGAGTACAATAGGAGATACCCAGTCCATGGGCCTGTGGATGCTAAAACCCAAGTCCTTTTAAGAAAGAAGGAGAAAAGAGCCACTTCCTGGCCAGACCTCATTGCCAGGGTTTTCCGGATTGACGTGAAGGCTGATGTTGACTCGATCCACCCCACTGAGTTCTGCCATAACTGCTGGAGCATCATGCACAGGAAGTTTAGCGGGGCCCCACGTGAAGTTTACTTCCCCAGGAATGCAATTATGAAGTGGTACCCACACACACCGTCCTGTGACATCTGCCAGATGGCCTGTCGGGGACTCAAGAGGAAGAGGCCTCATCCAAATGTGCAGGTCAGCAAAAAATTCAAAACCTTGCTTGACCGAGCCAAACAAGCCCGTCAGCGTAAGAGGAGAGCTCGGGCCAGGATCAGCAACAGGAGGGAAGTCTTGAAGAAGATTGCCAACTGTAGTAAGATACATCTTAGCACCAAGCTCCTGGCAGTGGACTTCCCCACACACTTCCTGAAATCGATTTCCTGCCAGATTTGTGAGCACATCCTGGCTGATCCTGTGGAGACTACCTGTAAACATGTATTCTGCCGAATCTGCATCCTCCGATGCCTCAAAGTCGTGGGCAGCTATTGCCCCTCTTGCCGCTATCCATGCTTCCCCACTGACCTGGAGAGTCCAGTGAAGTCCTTTCTGAGCATCTTGAATTCTCTGATGGTGAAATGCCCAGCGAAAGAGTGCAACGAGGAAGTCATCTTGGAAAAATACAATCAGCATGTCTCAAGCCACAAGGAATCAAAAGAGACTCTTGTACATATCAATAAAGGGGGCCGACCCCGGCAACATCTTCTGTCGCTGACCCGGAGAGCTCAGAAGCACCGGCTGAGGGAGCTGAAGATGCAGGTTAAAGCTTTTGCAGACAAAGAAGAAGGTGGAGATGTGAAGTCTGTGTGCCTGACCTTATTCTTGCTGGCACTGAGGGCAAGGAATGAACACAGACAAGCCGATGAGCTGGAGGCCATCATGCAGGGCCGGGGCTCTGGCCTGCAGCCCGCTGTTTGCTTGGCCATTCGCGTCAACACCTTCCTCAGCTGCAGTCAGTACCACAAGATGTACAGGACCGTGAAAGCCATCACAGGCCGGCAGATTTTCCAGCCTTTGCATGCCCTTCGGAATGCCGAGAAGGTTCTTCTGCCAGGCTACCACCCCTTTGAGTGGCAGCCACCCCTGCGGAACGTTTCTTCCAGCACCGATGTCGGTATTATCGATGGACTGTCTGGGCTTTCATCCTCTGTGGATGATTACCCAGTGGACACCATTGCCAAGAGGTTCCGCTATGATGCGGCTTTGGTGTCGGCTCTGATGGACATGGAAGAAGACATCTTGGACGGCATGAGGGCCCAAGACCTTGACGACTACCTAAATGGCCCCTTCACAGTGGTGGTCAAGGAGTCTTGTGATGGGATGGGGGATGTGAGTGAGAAGCACGGTAGTGGACCAGCAGTTCCCGAAAAGGCAGTTCGTTTTTCATTCACCGTCATGAGAATCACCATAGTGCACGGCTCCCAGAACGTGCAGGTGTTTGAGGAAGCCAAGCCTAACTCTGAACTGTGTTGCAAGCCACTGTGCCTTATGCTGGCCGATGAGTCCGACCATGAGACCCTGACTGCCATTCTGAGCCCTCTCATAGCCGAGAGGGAGGCCATGAAGAGCAGTGAATTACTGCTGGAGATGGGAGGCATCCTCAGGACCTTCAGGTTCCTCTTCAGAGGCACCGGTTACGATGAAAAGCTTGTCCGGGAAGTGGAAGGCCTCGAGGCTTCTGGCTCAGTCTACATTTGTACTCTTTGCGATGCCACTCGCCTGGAAGCCTCTCAAAATCTTGTCTTCCATTCCATAACCAGAAGCCACACTGAGAACCTGGAGCGCTATGAGGTCTGGCGTTCCAACCCGTACCACGAGTCAGTGGAGGATCTACGGGATCGGGTGAAAGGGGTCTCAGCCAAACCTTTCATCGAGACAGTCCCTTCCATAGATGCGCTCCACTGTGACATCGGCAATGCAGCCGAATTCTACAAGATTTTCCAGCTAGAGATAGGGGAGGTGTATAAAAATCCCAATGCCTCCAAAGAGGAAAGGAAAAGATGGCAGGCCACCTTGGACAAGCATCTCCGAAAGAAGATGAACCTGAAGCCAATCATGAGAATGAACGGCAACTTTGCCAGGAAGCTCATGACTAAAGAGACTGTGGAGGCGGTATGTGAATTAATTCCTTCCACGGAGAGGCACGAAGCTCTCAGGGAGCTGATGGACCTTTACCTGAAGATGAAGCCTGTGTGGCGCTCCACATGCCCTGCGAAAGAGTGCCCAGACTTCCTCTGCCAGTACAGTTTCAATTCCCAGCGTTTCGCCGAGCTCCTCTCTACCAAGTTCAAGTACAGATATGAGGGCAAAATCACCAATTATTTCCACAAAACCTTGGCGCATGTTCCGGAAATTATTGAGAGGGATGGCTCCATTGGGGCATGGGCTAGTGAGGGAAATGAGTCTGGCAACAAACTGTTCAGACGCTTCCGGAAAATGAATGCCAGGCAGTCTAAGTGCTACGAGATGGAAGACGTCCTGAAACATCACTGGTTATACACTTCCAAATACCTCCAGAAGTTTATGAATGCTCACAATACATTAAAGAACTGTGGGTTTAACATGAGCTCAAATGCAACCTTAGCAGACCCATTAGGCATAGAGGACTCTCTGGAAAGCCACGATTCAATGGAGTTTTAAGGAAGGAAACCACCTACGACTTGGTTTTTGCAGATGAGTTTTCCTTTGGGTGTCATGGCAGTCTTCTCTGAAGCACCTTTCCCTACTGGGTGTGGGGATTCACCACCTACGAGGTGGCAGGTTTGAGGGAGAGACTGCTGGTGCTGTCACCATATCAGGAATAGATCACTGATGAGCTAATTGCCCGAGTTGCTTAGTGAGTTCAGAAAAGCAACAGGCGAAATCAGTTATTTGAAAGCTCAGTGACTTAGAACAGGAGTAACAGCAGGGGGATCAGAGATGAACAAAGATCTGTGTGTGTACACCATTGAGTGTCATGCAAATCAAAGCCAAGGTTGTCAAAGAACAGCTGGTGAGGCCAGGACAGGAGTTTGTCTTGCAGTTTTCTTTTATTCTGCTCAATTTATTATATTTTATATTAAGACACAATGAGTCTTTTCTATTTCATTTTTTATAAGGTTCTTTATTTTACGAGTTTAACATATCTTACTCTATAAGATTCCAAAAAGCCTTTTAGGTTTCTCTAAAAATATCTTTCATTTGTAAGGCACAATGACCTTTATAAAGTGCCCTTGGGGTTTTTTCTCATTTATGCAGAAATACCCCACATCAAGTTTTGGAAAATCAACCCTTTTCTAAGTTTATATGATATCTCTACTGTTACCTTCAGAGTTTAGCGGGTCATTTGTTGTCACGAACTTTTCAGTAATGGAGTTGGAGCATATACCTGCTTGTAGAACTAGCTATTAAATCTTCCAATAATACATGTTCACTTCACTTAGCTATCAGTAGCTAAGTTTATTTTTTTAAAATTTCAAATAGTTTAGAATATCTAAATGCTTTCCCATACAATCGCAAGGCCCCAGAGACTTTTATAAATCCTGATGGGCTCATTGTCTAAAAACAGATTTAATGTCTTGCTGAAAACATCTAATTTTCTCCACATAAAGTGTGGGTCAATTTTATTAAATCCAGGTTTCTTAGATTCCTTCTGTGTTATTCTTTCCATTATGATTAGTTTCCTTTCAGTATATTCAAATTTTAGTAGCTGGTAACTTTGCAATTCTCTGACCTGTTTAATTTAGATAGAGACTACTCAGAATACAATGGAAGATTTAACATTTATACATTGTTTATTTTTGTTACTTTAAGAATTTTTTTCCCCATGGTACTGGGATTTGAATCCATGGACTTGCAAGTGCTGGGCAAATGCTCTACCATCAAGATGCATCTCCTGTCCTTTTCTATTTTTAAATTTTGGGACAGGGTTTCATTAAATTGTCCAGGTTGGCATTGAACTTGCATTCTTCCTGCCTCAGCCTCCTGAATAGCTGAGACTACTGGTGTCCACCACCTCACCAGGCATATTTGGATTTTTTTTTTTTTTTTTACATTCATTTTGCTTCACCACTCTCTGGGATAGGCTTATTATTCCCAGGATGGAGGTTAACTGACATGCCCCAAATTACAGGGATAATAAATATCTGATTTTGAATTTGAATCCTGGTTTTTTTCTCCAAATTTCTTGTTCTTTATACCACAACAATTAATAACTCTCTTTGTTTCTAAGATAGTGTCAGAACTTATTTATGATCCACTATGAATCACTACAGTTTGTAGCCTTGAGATGACATGTTTTGAGGGCAGCATTGGATGAACTTTTCAGTCATTTGTATAGTTTGGGCTTTTTGATAGAAGAAACTGCTAACCCTCCAGTCCATAGACTTCTGGTGGGCGGCTCCAGTTATTTGAAAACTATTGTCTGTATCCTTAGGAATCTGGGATTTGCCAGTTGCTAGCAATTTAGAGCAGGCATGGGATTTTATATGCTAGTGAGTCATAATGATATGTTACTGTTAATTAGTTTTTTTCTTCCTTTGATTTTATTGGCCTTAATTGCCACTCTTCACACACAGTATATCAAAGAGCTTTGTAATTTAGTTGTCAAACGTGCATCAGTGACATTATCCTAAATGGTGTGCATTTGATGATTTGCAGGGATTGAACTCAGTTTTTCCCATTAAAAATACGGCAGTTCTCATTGCCTTTTATATGCAGAATATCAAAGACATTCATAATTTAGTTGTCAAAACATATACATATTTTAATATTACTTTTTTTGAAAACTGTTTTGCATTTGGAAAATGAAAGGGCTTCTCTGTCACCCTTTTCTTTCATCCAGCTTAATCCTTACAGCATATCTATGCACTAATAAACAGCTACATTCAGGGACACATCATGCTCCCTGAAGTATGCTGGTGCTGTTTTGGAGATTTTTCCCTCCATTTTCACTCTGTTACTCGATTGGTAGCACTGTAAATACTTTCTGATATTAAATTCCCCCTTTCTAGCAATGTAGGAACTATTTTATGTGACTAAGAGCATGATTTATAGCACAACCTTCCCAATAATCCCTTAATCAGATCACATTTTGATAAACCCTGGGAGCATCTGGCTGCAGGATTTCAATAGGTAGAATTTATGCCTATGGTTATTTTTTGCCTCATTGTTAAGAGTGCAATATTCTAGACCCTGGTGTTATATTTGAGTTTTATTTTTAACAATACCCATTGCAAATGCAGTCATACTCCAGGGAAATTCTCCACACTGAATGGAACAATTTTTTTTTTTTTGAAGTATAGACTAGGACTTCAGCAGTGCAATGCATTTTTCTCCAGTGAAACCTGCTCCCCCAAGTTGTCTTGCCGACCCACTGGGGTCCACTGCAGGGACCAATGATAATGGCTGGTGAAAACTGATGAATAGCCAGCATGAGGTTAAGCAATACCTTGGGATTAATAAGCGTGCCCCTAGATACTGGAACAGCAGGGAACGATGTCTTTTTCTTCCAGGTAAGCTGGAATTTAGTATTGCTTCTATTTGTTTTTGGCAAAGTATAGATGAAGATAAAGATTTTTCTTTTTGGTTCAAGTGTGGTCTTGTAGTACATCAAACAGAATTCAGATTATACATAGCTAGAAGGTAGGATTTATAGGTGGTTGGGAGGAACACATTTCACAAGTCATCGTTCACTTATTAAAGGATCAGAAATGCATGCACCTAGATATCAGAGCACATGCCTGTGTCTTCAGGCATGCTATTGTATGACAGATGGTCTGTTCTTTCCATGTTAAGAGATTTCAAGTAAGATAGATACTTTATTCCCACTTCACTTTTCCCTCTTTGGCTACTGGAATTTATACAAATATACCTCAGAATTGATTATTGGTGAGCAACTTCTCTTGGTAGACTTGCACTTCACTTTATTTTCTCACAAATAATAATGCAATTTGTTTAACGGCTTCCAGAACTTTCTTATTTTTCTTTTAGGGAAAGTTCAGGTACTTCCAATGGGTTTATTTGATGCAATGGGTTTATTTGATGAGACAGGCACTTGTATTTTCATGTTAAATGTTTTCAATGAAAGGAAATATGGATTTTGTTACTTATTTTTGTATTTCAATATTTCCAATCATTCACATTATGGTTATTGTGAACAATTTTGTGTTTAAGTATTGGAAATAAAAGTTTAAGATTTGAAAAAAGTAGGTGTTGTGATTTATGTTATTACATATTAATAACATTGAGTGCAGTGCTTAAAAATGAATATATTTATCCTCGAGGGAAATACAAAATGAATTTGATCTTTGAAAGAGAGGGCAATAGTGTAGTGAGAAAGAGTAATTTGTCATAATATAGGATGAGACCATTTGGCTCCACATACTTAAGATAAATAGTAAACCATTTTTATACTTATTGCTACATGATTGTGATACATAATAATTACATTAATCTTGGGGAATTGGAACATATACATATCACATCTTAATCATCTTTTCTTCCCCTTCCCCTACCAACTCCTCTCTCTGCCCTTTCCCAAATCCATTTCTCATGTCCATGAAGTCCTTAGGGAGTAAACTTTGAATAGTAAATCTTTTGGGTTTTTTTCAATCCTTTGAGAATCTGATGAAATTATAGACTTTCTCTGGAATATTCCTTTGCTCATAGCTTTAAACTTTGGTCAGAATTTTTGTTGTTTATCTGTCCAGGACCACTGCTTAGTTTATAGCAAAACTACCTAGAGCTTAGATTCTTTTGTTCAGTGCTTTTGATAATAATAGTATGTAGTTTCCATTTACCAAACTTTTTTGGCGGCAAACACTTTGCATACATTTTCTTGGATCCTTTCGACGGCAGTATTGCTATGATCTCCACACTGCCTATGAGGTCACCTAAGTGTAGCTGAACTAGAAAACGGCAGTACCATTCTGCCTTTGGAGCACTCTTCCCTCCAGCTCCGTCCCACTGACCTTTGTACAACTTGGTCCTTCTTCCCCTTTGCTGGAGGCTTCCAAGCTCCCTTTCACTCAGGACTAAAATGCAGACTGACTGCTTCTCTTGTGCTTTACCAGTTTTCAAAATATTGAACTATATCTTCACTTGCACACACATGCTGCAAACCTCAAGCGTTGTCTCTACTCTATCCTCATAGCCCCACTCAAGAGCCCTGGATCATTCCATGATCCAGCAAGCTGCAAGTTAATTCCTGGGAGAGCTGGGGCCTTCTGAATCTGGCTTTTTAATTGGACTGTTACTCCTGCTGTTATAGGCAGCTGAGTTAGGTAGAAATATTATAGGCAGTCAGACAGGGCCAGGCCCTCAAAGGAGCCAGTGCAGAAGATGGGATACCTTGCAAAAGGAGAGATGGGTACTCTGCTGTGGGCCAGACCTCAAGACAAAAGATTAAACAGATGCGCCCACATACATACTTCCCTAGGGATGGACCTCAGGGATTGATATTCTAACTAGGTAGCAGTCACCTTGAAAAAGCCAGGAAGAGTCACTAACTCAACCCCTCTACCAAGAAAAGCCCCTGTTCTGTATTCATGCCCGCTTGCTACATGACTTGATTCCCCATTTGATCACAATTTAATCAATTTTACCTGAGCAATTATACTTATAATCTTATTGGCTGATCATAGTTTTGTCCCACCTCATGCCCGCCCAGCGAGTTCCCATGTTTTCCACCTTGGACCCCCCTCACCTGGTGGTTTTGCTCTATAAAAATCCCTGGAAAAGATAGGTTCAATGGGCAACCCACTTAGGCCCCCTTCTGTCCCTTTCTTGGACAGAAGCTTCTTTCCCTCAACAAATATATTCTGCTCTTAGCCTCCATTGTTCCTAAAATTCATTCTTTAATTTTTAGAGAACACAAACTTGTCCTAGATATCTTTCAGGTTGGGAGTTTCTTTCCCCTGTATCACTGCCTTCAAGAAGGTAGCATCCTTTTATCTTTGAAGGCTCAGCTAAGGTTTATATCTTTCCTGATGTTCTTTCCAACTGATTCAGCCAAATGTTGGTAGGATGTCTCCCCTGAACAGACAGTGTGTGCCTGGCATTGGTGGCGGTGGTGAACAGAAGAGACAATTTCGACTTGCAAAGAGGTGAGCAAGGCAGACATTAAATCAACAATAAGATTAATATGCATTTGTTTGGTTCTTGGTAGATGTTGTGAAGGGAAAGCGGCAGAAGCAGTCGGTAAAATAGGTGCAGTGTAAAATGCAATAGGACAGTAGAATTTAAACTCGGGAGTCAGAGGGATCATCTGTGAAGAAGGAAGAAGGAATGAAAGACGTCAGGAAATGAGTTACGTGGGGCGATGGACCTGAAGCAGATTTAGCCTGTAAGGAGACCCCGAGGTAGGACAACAGTTAGAAGTACTTAGGAATTTCAGGAAAACAAGTGAGTAGGAGTGGACAAAGGGAGTGGGGCCTGCCTGATTTGGAGAATCAAGCAAAGGCTTTGTCAGGCAGAACCTGGTGGCCTTACGCTAAGGGCAAAAGGAAACGGTTGAGGAGTTTGAGGTGTACAAATAGTGCAGTGCACAGGACGCCAGACTTGCGCACTGTGCAGTGTTTTTGGAAAGTATTACAGTACCTGGAAATTTGTCTTAGTCTAAGAAGGCTTATGCATAACATTTAAATGGTATGACAGCAATTTTAAACATTTTTCTTCATTTCAATGGCACACTGTCTAGGAACTCATGTGCCTCAGTCTCTCAGATGTGTCCAAGCCCAGGGAGGAGGAGATGAGGGGAGGTTCTGCAGTCCTTGATATCCTCATCTCTTCATGGAGTCAGCGTTTTTTTTCCCCTGGCTTTTTGCTTGCTTTTTTATGGAAATTTC